ACACGCGCAGAAAAATCCAAAAAGAACAAACGAATTATCTGCGTGGTTAAATTTTGTATTGCTTTTTGATTATTTTTTTGAAAACGTTTTTTCGGAAGTTTTTAAGAATTTGCTTGTTTTCAAAACGTTAATCGACCAAAAATGGGGCAAATATATACAATATCTACAAAGCTAAAAGTATTTACACTGTACATAGTCGGAGAAACGAACGGGCTGACGCACCTCCCGACCACGGCGATTGGTCGTTGGAGGCAGCGGGTAAGATTGGGAAGGTGTCGGGACGGCTGAAGCCTGCAGACCGAGATCGTGGTCTGATTGAACTGCACTAGGATGCTGTGAGCTGGTGCGGTGGGTTGTGACGTCGCACGAAACACTACTAGATGAAGTATGCGAGGGGTTTTCTTCCATAAAGGCAGGTTTTAAACGGTCGATGGTGACGACTTCGTATCGACCACCGCAGTCAATAGTGTACGCCTTACTCGCACGATGTAGCACTTTGAAAGGTCCTATGTACGGCGACTGAAGAGGCTGTCGAACACCGTCTGCGCGAAGAAGAACGTGTGAACACGTAGACAGCTTCTCGGGCACGTACACTGGTGTCTTCTGCGATCGAGGAGCGGGTGGACGTAGCTCACGCATCTGATGAGCCAATCGATCAGTGTAACTTCCGTAGTCAAAAGAGGAAGTAGACTGGGCTGGAGCTACCAGCTGTCCGGGCAACCGCAGCGTGCAGCCGTAGACCAGCTGCGCTGGTGTGGCGTCGAAATCGGTTTTAACCGTGTTTCTTAAGCCTAGGAGAACGAGGGGAAGCGTTTCAGACCATGAAGGATCGGCGTGCGCACGTAGCGCTGCCTTCAACTGGCGGTGAAAACGCTTCACCATGCCGTTAGCGGCCGGATGATACGCCGTCGTCTGGACGTGGCGACAGCCTAAATCCTTAAGCAACGTGGCAAAGGTTGACGAGAAATGTGACCCTCGATCGGTGGTCACGATGGCGGGACAGCCGTATTGAGCTACTCAGCGCTCCATATAAGCGCTCGCTACTGTTTCCGAGGAGCAATTTGGGATAGGGACGGCCTCAGGCCATCTAGTAAATCGATCGATGTAGGTCAGTAGATATACAGAGCCTTTGGAAGGCGGCACAGGACCTACGAGATCGATGTGCACGTGATGAAAACGTGCGTCTGGTGTCGGAAACGTGCCTAATAGGCTTTTCGTGTGCTTGTGCATCTTCGCGCGTTGACACGGAAGGCAAGCAGCTGCCCAAGTACGGACGTCCCGATTAACATTGCGCCAAACGAATCGTGCGGTTACGAGTTTAACCGATGCACGAACGCCTGGATGCGACAAGCCGTGCAATGCGTCGAACACGGTCTGCCGTAACTCGCGTGGGACGACTGGGCGCGGCGTGCCCAGAGATAAATCGCAGAACAATGGAACAATGGTATATGACGGGTAAAAAAGCATACACTTAACGAGTCCCGCAGGTTGGCAATAGAAATACTAACAAATTGGCAAACCACATAAGTGGTTGAAGTAAGGAGTGTCAGTGAGATAAAAGGTAGAAGTATAACAGTTTTAGGGGGATAAAGTGGTACGACGCAAAACTGGCTAAGAAATTGTTATCGTTGGTGATGGTAGCAAATAAAAATGGAGTACTCACCGGTTCGCACAGATTTACGACCGTGAATTTGGGGTACAAATCCAAAGAGGCTGGTCAGCCAAAATATATACAAGCGGTTTCGTTCATAAAACAAAGCGCAGGGGGCTCAGTGCGACGTCCAATCGTTTTTTAAACGTATCTAATGTGGGGGCACAAACTACTGAGTTTGGAAGGGCGTTCCAGGGCCCGCAGACCCGGAGGGAAAAATAGGTTCTCCGACAGTCTAGACGACTGTACTGTTGGCTCAGCTTTAAACTGTTACCGCGAAGGTTAGTGTTCGGGCTGAGCTTCAAGAGGTGGCGGCATACGTGACTGGGATCGCTCAATATCTGGTACACTAGTATGAGGTCTCCACGAAGTCGCCGGTACCGTCCGCTGAACACTCCGAGTATCTCCAGTCGTTCCTGGTAAGGAGTGTGGCGCAAGCCCTTGACGATTTTCGTTGCTCGACGCTGTGGGGTCTCAAGCGCTGCAAGGTCACGTTTTAGCCAGGGTTGCCAGGCCTGGATTGCATATTCGACGTGAGGACGCACGTAGGCATTCAGCATCAAAGAGAAGATGGATGGATCCAAAATTCCGAATGCTCTTCGCAGGAGTCCAACGTGCTGGTTGCCCCTTTTAGAAGCGGAATCTGACTGTTTGGAACACCCGAGGTCTTCCTGTACCAGCACACCCAAGTCGCGTTCCTGAGTGGTGGTCTTCAGATCGTGTGCCCCAAGCTTGTAGACGTGGATTTGTCGATGGCGGATATGAACAACACGACATTTGTCCACATTAAACGGCGGGGCGTTTCTCACCGTCCAATTCCAGGCCACATTCAAGTCACGCTGTAGGACTTCATGGTCGTCCGATCGTTTTATCGCCCGCCAAACCTTGAGGTCGTCCGCGAAGAGTAAGAATTTCGACGTAATAACTCTTACTAGATCGTTAATGAAAAGCAGGAACAAACGAGGCCCAAGTACCGAACCCTGCGGTACGCCGCATCCCACTCGAATCGGATCGGAAAAGGATGATCGAACTCTAACTACTAACTGCCGTTCAGAGAGAAAGTTACCGATCCATCCTAACAACGGGTCTCCGATACCGTACTGTTGGAGTTTAATGAGCAGGATTCGATGATCCAGGCGATCGAAGGCTTTCGAAAAGTCCAAGAATGCAACATCGACTCCTGTTCCCTCATCGACAGTCTCGGTCCAGTTGTAACGAGCTATCAGCAGATTCGTCGTACATGAACGATGTTGACGAAACCCATGCTGTTCTGGCGCAATTATGCCGTAGTTTTCCAAGTATCCCATTAACGCATCTGCTATCACCGCTTCCATGACTTTGGCGATCACAGGCAGAAGCGTTACGGGGCGGTAATTGACAGGATCCGATCGACTTCCTGCTTTGTATATGGGCGTTATTACACCTTGTTTTTACCTCGAAGGTACGATGTTCGCATCGAAACAGCGCTGAAAAAATGCAGCTAATGGTTCGGCCAAGTGGATGGCAGCTACCTGTAATGTTTTCGGGTGAATGTTATCGGCCCCGGGAGGGCTGTGTGGACGCAAGGATAGCAGCTTTTGCAGCACCATTTCTGCAGTGAACGTGACGTTGGATAAAACGGGCGGTGGGGTAACTAGTGGCGGAATATACGTCGAGGCTTGTACACCTTGGAAGATTGGGGAGTACTGGGCCCGTAATGCGTTGGCCGCCTCTTTCGCAGTATGTGTATACCCATTGGTCGTATTAAGTGGTGGGATTCCCCGTTACACCTTGCGAAGTCCATTCACATGTTTGTAAAGAAGCTTTTTGTTCGAACAGAATCGTTTGGCTAGCTCCTGCTGATGCGTTCTCTTGTCTTCGCGAACCAAAAGCACATAGTAGTTGCGATGCGAAACGTATTCCGTCCAGTTTTCTGCGCTGGGGTTGCTTTTATACGTGCGCCATGCCCGATCCCGTAGAGCCATGCATTTTCGCGTCCGGCTTCGCAAGAATGATTTCGCTGTGTGGGGATGTTGGGAAAATTTTGGTGTTGAGGCTTCTATGACTAGCGACGTGATGGTGTTCGCAAATGTCTCCCAGGCTAGTTCTGGGGTGCAGTTAACTAGAAACGTCCAACTGGTATTCTTAACTAAGGCAGACAGAACGTGGTAATGGGTAACAGATTGCCTCGTTTCGAGCTCCGCAGCTGGATATTTGGCGTAGCAGATGTAATCGAACTGCAAAGTCGCGTGATCGCTACGGTCCAAAGGACTGCACACCTTTAGTCCATCGACCATGAGCTCTTCGTTAGTCAGCACTAGATCTAATATCGATGGGTTGTTTCCTGTTCTGCACCTGGTTGGAACGGTGACGTGGTTATACAAGAAGGTGCTAGAGAGTAGCTCTTGCAAATATGCCTTGAACACTTCTGTCTCGGATGCTGGATTTTCCAAGTCATGGGTGTTGAAATCTCCCGCAACGAGGATGTGGCTGTACTTCTGATTAAGCACGGAGCGAAAAGCGGAGATAAGTCTGTTGTCCCTTTCCGGAGTGGATTTCGGTGGTCGGTAAACCACAGAGAGAAGGCATACGTCGTTGCGTTCCAACCACAGTTTGCACCAAAGGACGTCGGTGACACAAGTCTGGGGATCGTCTATGAGCTCACAACGAAGGTTCGTTCGGAAATAAATGAGCACGCCACCGCCCTTGCCCGTTCTGTCGTTCCGGAGAAGTGACATACCCGGTATGGCAATCTCAGCGTCTGTGATTTCGCCCCTCAGCCAGGTTTCGGTGATCATTATGATGTCTCGAGGCTCCGAAGCCAAACGGTGACGGAGTTCTACCAACTTACTTATGAGGCCTTGTGCATTAGTATACATGCAGGATAGTGCTTTTGTAACCAAGAGTGAGCTAGCACAGGTTGTTGTAGAAATGGAGTTTGTGCCGACCGTTAACGGGTCGGCCATTAACCGTTTTTTTGTGGTGACGTTTGCCTTTGAGTTTGCTTTCTGTTAGACGACTGATCGCGGCCTTCCGGGCCCTGCTGGTCCCCCGTGTTCAGCCGTGTTTCGTGGGATATTGCGGTTGTTCGTTCCGTCTGATGATGTCAGCGGAACGGGTCATGTATCCAATGAGGGAGACCTGCGTAGTAGATCAACCTCAGGGTCGTTAAGTTGTGCTGTGGCCATGGCTGCCAAGTCGATAGCAGTGCCGGCGTCAGCGGAGATAGCTTGGATGCGAGAACGTGCATCGGCGACAGCGTTGTGCACACCTGAGACATGCCGTATATCGGTCGTAAACTGAGCGATATAATCAAGGTGGCGCGACTCCCTAGGAGAGTATCGGTCGGTAGTCGAGCCGAGCACGTAAGTCAGGGGTTTGTGGTCGGTGAAGACGGCAAAGGAGCGGCCTTCTAAGACGTGTCGAAAGTGACGTATCGCTAGCTACACTGCTAGTAGTTCTCTACCGAACGTGCTGTAGCGAGATTCGGTAGGTCGTAGGCGTTTGGAGAAAAACGCTAAGGGCTGCCACGTGTCGGCTACGCGTTGCTGCAAAACAGCGCCGACTGCCACGTCCGAGGCGTCAGTACTGAGGGACAGTGAGGCGGCCGGATCGTGATGCGCTATAGAAGCTATGTTGGCGATAGCCTCTTTCAGCGACTTAAAAGCAGCGCGTGCTGAGGCAGGAAATTCGAATTTCTTGAGTTTCCCTCGGAGAAAGTCCGTGAGCGGTTGCATCAGCGAGGCGCAGTTGGGTATGAACCGTCGGTAAAAGTTGACAAGCCCATCAAAACGCCTGAGCTGTTTGAAAGAATGAGGCTCGGGGTAGTCGATGATGGCTTGAATTTTATCCTGCGGTGGCACGACGCCTGCAGAGGAGATACGATGGCCAAGAAAGTTTACTGAATCGACACCAAACGAACACTTTTCTGCGTTGATCGTCACCCCGTGTTGAGATAAACGATCAAAAAGTGTTCGTACGTAAAGTATGTGCTCTTCTCGTGAAGAGCTTGCGATTAAAATGTCATCAAAATACGCGTAAGCGAAGTCTAAGCCGCGACAAACTTGGTCGATGAAACGCAGAAAAGTTTGTGCGGCGTTCTTTAGGCCAAATGGCATGCGCAGATACTCGAACAAACCAAATGGAGTCGTCACGGCAGTTTTAGCGATGTCCGCTTCGGCTACCGGAATTTGGTTGTATGCGCGTACCAAGTCGATTTTGCTGAAGATACTTTTACCTGCCAGACTGGCGGTGAGATCCACTATGTGTGGGATCGGATAGCGATCAGGCGTGGTTACCGCATTCAAGGATCGGTAGTCGCCGCAAGGACGCCAGTCCCCCACGACCTTCTTCGGGACCATGTGCATAGGCGACGCCTATGGGCTGTTGGACGGTCTGACGATACCAAGTTGAAGCATGTGGTCTAATTCGGCTCGTGCTGCGCGTAGTTTGTCAGGAGCAAGCCGTCTTGGTCGTGCGCTAACTGGTTGACCGCGTGTAACTATGTGGTGAGCGACCTCTGTTGTGACTGGTGGAAGCTCTGCAGCCGGTCGAACCAGTCGCGGGTGTTCGGAGAGGAAGCTCAAATAGTCGGACGATGCGTCTGCGATCCGAACTACAGGGCTGATTATCGGGGCATCTGAAAGGACACCATCAACACCTAGTTTAGTACGGTCGTCTAAAAGTCTGTGGCGACCAGCATCAACAAGCAACCCAAAATGTCGGAGGAAGTCGCTACCGATAATTGCGAAGGGTACAGACGCAACCATGAAGACCCACTGAAAATCTCGGCGAAGATTGAGTCTAGGTTCATCATGCGCTGACCGAATGAAGCTATCGGAGAACCGTTGGCCGCACGCAAATTGTACGTAGGCTCTGGGTGCTTGTCGTTAGCGGTCGCTGGGATGACGCTGACTTCCACCGTATTGGCGGTGATACCAACATACTTCTTCGACAGGTTTGACATTATCTGACTAAGAACTTGTAGGGCAAATGTTGCGCTTTCGTGCCGAACGTGACGTACTCGGTGCAGGCACAGACGAACCGCAATGAACGGTAGCCAAAACGTGGTCAGCATTTGACCGTGGCACACGCTGCTTCGGAGCCTTCATTGTTGCTATCTTGCTGCGAAGTAGCGCAATTTCGTCGTCTTTAGAGTCAGATCGACCTATCTACTGGGAACAAACATGAGATTCGGTTTTCATCGGTGAGAATACGTCACCGGAGCTACTGGTCGTCTGCTGCGGAAGACGTTCAAACGCAGCATCTGCCTTTGTAGCTAATTCTGTCAGGGGTGTATCTATAAACATGGACAGAATTACCGGCAACGGCTCTGGGAGACGTGCAAACCACAGCTCCTTTATCCCTTCTTCGCTCAAGAATAAGGGACCAGCGATGCGCTGAAATTCGCGGAGCAACGCCGACGGCTTGCGATCTCCAAGCTTGAGACCATTGAGCTGCTCAAATCGAGTTGGTGCGCTGGGCCGTAACTTTTAAAATCGCTTGCTTCATCGTTTCATACTTTGCCTCATTCGATGGGCAGAGTAGAATGTCCTCAATCAGCGTCAATACCGACGGAGGAAGGCGTGGGACGAGCTGATTGTACCTCGGACGGTCCACCGTAATGCCCTTGTTTTCTAGTTCGATCTCGAATATCGTAAACCAAACTTCTGGACTGTGTTCCATGAAACTTGGAACAGCCAAAGTAAGCATGGTTACGCTGTGAAACGACTCAGATGCTACTCTCGAAATGTGCGTCGAAAGATAAAGAAGGAAAAAATACGATTAAGGTACCTAAATTACGCAAGAAACAAATGAATACAGGTATATAATCGAGCAAAAGGAACGAACTCACCAAAAAATACAAACGAGAAAAAAGTTGAATTTGCGCGTGCGAATCGGGGTCACCAATTTGTAGGACTAGTTAATACTAGTCCGAGGCGGTGCGCCTAATTTAGCGCGGATATCAGAAGGCAATGGGAGTCGGACACAGCGGATTGTATTCGATGGGCTACAATAAGAAGCGGACGGATGAAGCGAGGCGAGAGTGTACACGTGAGCGCGGGAACTTACAAGGCAGTTGTGTGGCGAGCCGGTTGTAAGATTAAAACAAGAAGGGGTAATGTACAATCGGTCAACAATTAAATTGTACATGAAAGATCGCAGTTATCTTTTAGGGCGCTACAAGTCCCTCAAGAAAAACCTCCGAAGTACAAACGCCATCTCGCGTGTGATTGCCCACCAATGCAATCGTATGCCTGCGCGCAATGCACTCAGCATCGGGTGCTGCAACGTGCGCACACTACTGGACTGGAACTCCAGTGAGCGCCCCGAGCGACGCACTGCACTGGTCGAGATGGAACTGGCGCGATACAACATCGATATTGCGACGCTCAGTGAAACTCTGCTTGCTGAGCATGGTGCTGGTTACACATTCTATTGGCTGGCTAACGCCGCCTCAGCACTACTTGATCATGGAGTAGGATTGGCAACATCCGATCATCTCTGTGGCCAGCTGGTGGGTGAACCAACGGGCATCAGCGCGCGACTGATGAATGTTCGCCTACGACTCGGAAGAGGTAAGTTTGCCAATTATATATGCATGTACAGTCCGACCATATGTTATCCTGATGACACGCATGATCAATTGTAAACCCAGCTATCCTCGTGATACGGTCTGTGCCGAGGAGCGACCGGCCACTCATCGACCCACCCCCTAGGCTGTCCCTTTGGATCCACCCTCTCGCTCAGAAGTCGAACGTGAGATCGGACTGTTGAAGTTAATAAAGCCGCGAGACCTGATGATTTTCCTCTAGCCCTCTGCCAATTCGGCAGAACTGCTATTGTGAATAATTCACACGAATAACTAGTTAAAATGTGGGAGCAGGAAACTGTCCCAACCGATTGGAGCCGCTCCGTCATAGTCCCAATTTTCAAGGGAGGCTCACGATCGGAATGCGGCAGCCATAGAGGAATCAGTCTGATCTCCATCGCCTCCAAACTGCTTGCCTCTGTCATCCTTCACAGATTGACTGGCACGCGTGAAAGCCAGGTTCGTGAAGAGCAAGCTGGATTTCGTCGAGGTCGTGGCTGCATTGACCACATCTGCACCTTGCCTCAGTTTTTGGAGCACCGTCACATATATTGGCGGCCCACCATTGTCGTGTTCCTCGATATCAAAGGTGCATTCGATTCGGTGGATAGACATGCACTTTGGGACTGTCTACTCAGGAGAGGTGTGCCCGAGAAATATGTGAATATTATCCGATCATTATATGCGCGTAGCTCGGGCAGAGTGAGGGCTTACGGCAAGTTGTCATCGCCCTTTAATATCTCCAGCGGCGTGAGACAAGGATGCCCGCTGTCATCTTTCCTCTTCAACTTCGCTGTTGACGAAGTCATGGAAATGGCGTTTACAGTACACGACTTAGAAGGTGTGGATCTGCCCCCATTAGAACGACTTATTGACTTAGAGTATGCTGATGATATTGCCCAATCTGTGACAGCTCCCAGACGTGCCAAGCGGCACTGGACAGATTAGCACTAGCTGTCCGTCACTTCGGGATTCGATTCGCACCCTCGAAGTGCAAAGCGTTCCTCCAAGATTGGTCTGGACCGCCTCCTTCGCTGACACTTGGTGGGGATCAGCTAAAAGTCGTTCAAAAATTTAACTACCTGGGAATTTGTATCAGCGCCCGTGGGATTGAAGATGAGATCACAAAGCGCATAGCAAAAGCTCGGGGCGCTTGTGCTAACCTTCGCCACTTATGGCGCCGGCGCGACATCATTTTTGCACTGAAGGGTTGATTGTACAATGCAGCAGTACGTTCGACCCTACTGTACGGTTGTGAAACCTGGCCGCTTAAAGCAACGGACCTGAAGAGGCTAGTTACGTTCGACCATCGGTGCCTTCGCAATTTAGCTCACATCTGGTGGGAACACCGCGTGAGCAACGAGCGTGTTCGACGCCTTGTTTATGGCACAGGAAAAGGAACTGAACCGCTCAGCACCGTTATTTCACGCACCAGGCTCCGATAGCTCGGCCACGTGTTACGCATGTCAGCCCACCGACTCCCGCGACGTGCATTGTTTGCGCGCCTGGGGTGTGGATGAAAGAAGAGGAGAGGTGGCCAAGCGATGACTTGGTCGAGAGGACTGAAGGCCCTCACTTCTGAGTTGGACTCGGTTGGAGCGCCACGGCTCCCTGGTTGGGGTCCGAAAGACAATGAACACATTTGGTTGGACACACTTGCTGACATGGCAAGGAGCCGACCTCAGTGGCGTTCGTGCTGTGAGTTTCTTTGTCCCACCCCATCCCTCTTAGCCTCTCCCTCCAACCACGATCTCATTATTCAGCCTTATATAATTTTGCATAGTGATTCTTTTTGATGCACAGTAGCCGGCTGGTAGCTTACCGGAACGATGCCCATCCGTTACCGGTAGCTCAGCCGGCTTGCTCCAGTTGTATTCTTTTTTTCCCTATTTTTTCTGTGTATTGCGTCACAGTAGCTGAGGTGTTCCCCACCTCTGGCCAACGTGTATGATGATGAGGAGGAGGAGGAGGAACGACCGACTATTTCTGCTGGGTGATTTTAACGCGCGCGTTGGGTGTGATGCATCAGTGTGGACAGAGGTTGTCGGTTCGCATGGCATTGGTTCAGCGAATGAGAATGGTGACTGGCTGCTCTCACTGTGTGCCACTCACGGCCTGACGAGCATGAACACTCCGTTTGCACTGAGTGCGAGTGATATAGCAACTTGGACGCACCCACGGAGTGGTCACGCTCACCTGCTCGACTATGTCATCGTACGTCAGCGTGATATGCGTGAAGTGCGCATGACACGTGTACTGCGTGGAGCTGAGTGCGGCACTGACCAAAATTGGTGCGGACAAAACTGTACATATATTTTCGTAAATCTAGGTATTGCACTTCCGCTGTGAATCGGCGTAAATTCAACATTCTCTCCCTCGGTACTGTGGCGAAACGTACTGAGCTGGAGAAGGCGATGGCTGCACGCCTGCGTGATGTGGACTGCATAGCCACAGTGGGCGACCTGTGGCACCACATTCGCGACCAGGTGACAGCTGCTGCCGAGGAGACCATTGGGCGCGCAAACTGTAAACGGCCTGATTGGTTTGATGAGAACAATGCGACGATTGGCGCATTGGTGTCGGAGAAGAATGCAGCATTTGCTGCACATGCTGCAGACCCCAGTGACTTGGGGAAAGAGTAGTCAGTTTCGCAAACTTCGACGGCGACTGACCCGAGAGCTCCGTCGCATAAAATATGCATGGAGGACGGAGAAGGCGAAGCAGATGGAATGCTACGTCGAACGCTGTCAACAGAAGGAATTCTTTGACGCCTTGAAGGCGGTGTATGGACCGAGATTGGAGCCGCTGAGAACGCTGATTGATGGTAGCTCAGGCGCTACCTGCACACAGACTGCAGACATAATGCAGATCTGGCGGAAACACTTTGACTGTCTCTTGAACAACCGCTCAGAGATCGCCTGGCCTAAACTGAACGGCCTCAAGCGGCACGATGTGAACACAAGTCTGGCGGACACGCCGATATTAGATGAGACGCAGAGAGCAGTTAATCAGCTGCGAAACGGCAAGTGTGCTGGGGCCGACGGGATCCCGCCAGAAGCATTGAAACACGGCGGACCCGCGTTGTTGACTGCGCTGCACCACTTGGTGCAACGCGTATGGATTGAGGATGAGGTGCCTGCTGAGCTGAAGGATGCCCTTGTGGTACCACTGAAAAGGGCAAAGATAGCAAACATAGTTGCCCGAATTATCCTGCAACCAATCTGCTGAGTTGTGTAGTCAAGGTGGTTTCCCGAATCCTGCTCAACCGCCTTGTCAGTCAGGTTGTGGAACCGAACGTGGCGGAAGAGCAGTGTAGATCCCGCTCGGGTCGCAACACCATAGATATGGTGTTTGCGGCTCGTCACTTGCAGGAG